TTGAAATATCTCCTTGCCTCTCCGAAGTCAAAAGAAGCGAGATCTGTGAGGGTTTTTCTTGGGAGTAAAGTCTCCGCAACATCGCGGCCTTTTGTTTATATATTATCTTGTAAAAAAAAAAAGAAACAAAAAACAAAAATCAGTAGAATTTAGCAAAAATAAGTCACAAAATTTTTGAAAAACATAAGGTTTACTGTTTAATCGTTCGTTCGAACTTTGATGCAGTTATGGGCCTTTTTGTAGGCTAACATCTCTAAAGTTTGTTGTATAGATGTTGCGACGGCATGCGTCAAAGTGAATTAAGGTCATTCCCCAGTATTGCATTGCGCATCCCTACTGCGCATAAGTTCACGCGTGATTAGCGCGCGCGCATTAAAAGGTGGCGGCCTTTTCTTTGCGGCTGGACCTCGCCATAGAGGTAAATCGTCATTTTCTCGAAATCGAGTACGGCGACCTATCATTTTTTTCTGTTGTATTGAATTTAGTAATAAATTTCTCTATGTAAAATAGTTAAATCTATAGTTATGGGCCAGTTCTCAGTGTTGAGCAAGAAACAATCGTCGGAAACGTGAGTTTAGCGAGCAATCGTGACTATAATCATGGTGCTATTGTAAGGATTTATTTGGTATAGACAAAGTGCTGCTGCTCCTAAACGAACACAGAGAATCACGGACTTCATAGCATTCAGCATAACTAAATAAATTCTGAATAAATTTCGGAAGCAGCGTTTCTGTAACTAACATTTATTCCATTCCCAAAACTTTGGAAAGTTGTCGTTAAACACTGCGTTGAATCGCTTCGCCAAGCACATGAAGTTTGGACTACTTGCACACTTTTCGTAAAGCCTTTTACTTTCGTGATGATCGACCGATTCCACCTACGAATTCCTGCATTTCCCCGTCAGAATACTTGTGAGTTAATTAACATTCTTTTTGCCTTTCATGATCACCGATAACCATTTCCTTTCCTTTCTTAAACTTTTCTTAGCGTGAAATATATGTTCGTCGCTTTGCTCTGCGGATTTGGTGTCCGGCGCGGAGTCTGCGCTTTCGTTCTTTCAGTCACTGTGATTGGTTTGTCAAGTCATGTCATGAATTTGATGAAAATAAACAACTTGATCACGAAAGTACAATAAATATTCCTCTCATTGACAGACTTTTTCCATGGTTATTTCTTAAAAGCGATAGACCACTCTTTCTATGGGTTTACCGGCTCAATAAACCACTTGGGATGTTGGGAAAACACTCGAAAAGCTTGTAAATCACTCGCCTACGGCTCGTGATTTACAAGCTTTGCTCGTGTTCTCCTAACATCCCGCGAGGTTTATAGCGCCAGTAAACCCATAGAAAGAGTGGTCTATTGGTTAAATAGAAACGCGATTTTTAATCAGCGCGCGTATTTTCGGCTTAAGGCTGTTTTCTAAAATAAAATAACAGCTCGTTTAAACAGGAAGCCAATTTAGGTTCTTTAATATTAGAGTGATTTTTTGCGCTGATAGTTAGCCTTGCAGCTCTATTTTGCAACCGTTGTAGTTTCTCTAACTCAAAAGGGAGTATACCATAAAGAATATTGCTATCTAAAAGGGTGCCATAGAGAATGTGTTTTCTGCGGAAAAAAAAATCTATAGCTACATGTATAATAGAAAAAATTTAAGACTTTTCCCATTGGTCAAGACTTCAAGTTTACAAACAAAATTACATTTATACTATTCTGATAAGCTGATAGATTTCTCCCTGAGGTTAATTGTGGCTTCAGACTGTACTAATAAAGTGTTTACACTCACGTGCATGGTCAGCGGGCATGTAAATTTATTGGAACAAAAGAAAGCGCTTACACAAGAAATAGTGCAACTTCCACCTTTGTTTCGACACCAACATGGTAGCCTGCGTCGCAGACGGAAGTTTACCTGTAAATTACCGTAATCCGCGGTAATCCGCGGTAGGTAACATCTGCGACGCAGGCTACAACATGGCCGCTATTACATTGTTTTCGGACACCAATATGGCTGCCGTGACGTCATGCGAAAAAAAAAAACTTAGAGCCGAAACCCTCTTGATAACTGCTCTTTAACAGATCGAGAAGCAAAGAGCTGAAACAGGCTAAATTATAACTCTTAATATGCCTGGTCTGTGGATTCAAATAACAAGTTTACTGTATATAAAACATTAGGAGACTTGATACTCAGCGATATACGTTGATTCCAAAGACGCAATAAGGGTGCCGGCCAAAAAAAAAAATAACATGCATAGAGAAAAATATTTATGATTACTCCACTTCAAATGTATATTGAGTTTGAAACACAGCTAAGTGGACAGGCAAATCTCTAAACCGTCGATCACTCTACAAACCTTCTTGTAGAGTGATCTTGATTTCTTGTAGAGGAATTCTTGATTTGATTCTTTTGAGACCACAGATATTGTGGTCCATTTGACTACAAAGATATGTAACGAAGTCACCGATCCCCACGGTGGTTTAATTACTTAAAGCCAATGATTTGAATCCGTGGAAAACTCAGTGATCATGGCGATCGAGCGTTGTAGGTCTCACAAGGTTGTATTGTAACATGAATTTGTAATCTTATCCTCAAAAAAGTGTCATTTCGTTTAGAATACCTTAAAACTCTTAAAATAAGTGTACGGTATTGCCTAATCATCATGTCCTTAGTACAAGGGAAATAGGGCCTTGCAGTGCCTAAGTACAGCTTAACTGGTTTCACTTCTTAGTCTATGACAAACTACAAACCACACCTGCGTCCTCGGCGTGACTACAGTGACCTATATCAAAACTGCTATATGGACAGTATAATAGTGAAGCCTCTGATCCTGTGCAATCCAGGTGTTGACGTCTCAAAATATGCCCAGAACCCTGACCGTATGCTGCTGCCTTAGCGGCGGAGGTTGCTCCAGAGTAGCCAAGTTGATGACACGCCACCTTTGCGTCATTCATATCCCAGGTATCATCACACACGGTGTTCCATACTCCATGGTAAAAGATTTCCACGCGGCCGTAGTTACGTCCGCCACCCATCAAACGAATGTTAGGAGAACCATAAGAGCACGATACACTGGCGTCATTGCTATGACTACATCCATTGTTTCCACATCCATTGTGTCGACAGTCGTAAAGGTGTGACTCACTCCCTGAGCATGCCACGTTACTTATCCATATTGGACCAGTTCCCTGACCGTGCGTAGCACCGCTATAAGCTTGAGTGGCTTTCGGGAAGCCAAGCTGCCGGCACACCACGTGAGCATCATTTATATCCCAACTATCACCGCAAACGGTGCCCCATTGGCCACCATATTTGACTTCAACTCTTCCAGTTGATGCCGTATGACCATTAATACGGATGCTTTCTCCTGTTGTGACTAATAATGACAATATATCACTAATTACTTATCAAACAGATGAATAAACAAACGAGGAACTGAATCAATGGTTTATGGTATCTATGTTGGAAGGCAAGCAGGTAGGTAGGAAAGTTACAAAACCAGCATTTCAGCTAATGATGGTGGTCAATCTGTGTGGNAAAATTGGCTTTCAAAACTGTAAAATTCTTTGGTGGCAAAAGCGCTAATAGATTCATATATTCGTTGTAAAATTGTGAGTTTAAACCCCCTGGCAGAAAAATATATTCAATAATACAGGCAATTTTTATACCTGATATTTTCGTAGCTTGATCAGACACTGAATCGCTTATACTAATGAGACAAAACAAAGATCGATATATATTACATCTTTTAAGTGGTCGTCCAGAGTGAGCCTTCTAAACACATCTAAGATTCTTAGCCTTAGCTTTCGTGATACTAACAACAACATTCATATGATTGACACAGCTGTAAATCATGCTAATTTGGTCGGGCAATGAAGTTGATTTTACTGATGGTACAACGCTTTCTTAATTTATCGTTTCGAAAAAGAAAAAGTAAAAGAAAGATCGAAGCTCGCAGTAGTCAGCAGGGAAGTCCAGACGTTAACTTGTTTTCGTGTTTCTTTCGACCTCTTACCCTTCCAAACAAAAAAGCAAGCGAAGTACTACTTCCTTTCTTCAAACTGAAAAGAAATAAAAAAAACGTATCTTACCTCCGACACCACTGAGCATAAGGTAACAAACCAGCAGAAACACGTTCTTCCTCGCAGAAAACATTTTGGCTTGATGTTCCAAGTGATCACTACTCCTTGGAGTGAAGAATCTAACGTGAAAGATTTAACTCTGTTATATTTATAGTGGAAGAGACATGATTGCAGGATATCAAACTCCTGTCGTCAAACCCTGCTTGTCCACGTACAAGGAAGCCGGTAGTCACGTTTATGGCTGCATTCGCATCTATCAACATATACTACCATCATCATATACTAGTGTTTCAGCGTAAAACAAACAAATTGGGATTTTGCGAGGTCAACCGGTAATGATACTATCAAAAAAAAAAGAGAAGTAAACATAAAAAAAAAAAATACACAACAGCCTTGCTTCGATAGAAATAGCAATATTTGAAATATATAGAGAGATAATAGTGCTAGACTGATAAACGTCACTTATAAGGATACGATACCAATCTGTTCCTTATGTGCGCACGCAAGTGTCTACAAGGAAATAAAGGCACATAGCAGCGCACAGCCAACAAAAGCACATGATCCATACTTCCTGGTAGAACTGATTAAAAACAAAAGAAAAACGTGGGAAAATAGAGGATATTATACGGTGGCGGGAAGACATGAATTTTATGTTCTTGGTGGTACGTAGTATCGATATTTAATTCTACTCATTAGCCTGCATGGCTGGAGTTGAACGGGGAAACTACAACCAAAGCGCAAGGCGCAATACTGGAACAGGAGAGTTAGCTCCTTTTACTTGAGCTACGATAAGCTTGTTGTGTCAAAGGAACAAAGCACTTGATCCAAACTATCATTTACTAGAATTAAAAAATTCAAACTGCTGGTCGTTTAGTGTTTAAAAACCTTGACCAATGAGCCATGCACAACTTTTTACAACTCATGGCGTCATATTCTATACCCAGCGTAAGGTAACCTGCTTCGTAGACGTTACACGCCGATGATTACAATTACAGGGTTACAGTCAAACCAAGTGAAGCGTACCCCTCAAGATAACAATTAATGAATTGATTATTTGAATATTGAACCCGCTAGTCGTTTCAAGAATGCAATAATGAATTGATT